ACTAAACCAGGTCTAAACCAGGACTAAACCGGGTCTTGTTCTTGGTCTGGGTCTTGGTCTGGATCTTGGTCCGGGTCCGAGTCTGGGTCTGGGTCCGGGTCTAGATCTAGGTCTGTGTCTGGGTCTGAGTCCGGGTCCGACCAGAACTAAACTAGAACTGAACCAGGACTAAACCAGGTCTAAACCAGGACTAAACCGGGTCTTGTTCTTGGTCTGGGTCTTGGTCTGGATCTTGGTCTGGGTCCGAGTCTGGGTCTGGGTCCGGGTCTAGATCTAGGTCTGTGTCTGGGTCTGAGTCCGGGTCCGAGTCCGGGTCCTGGTCCGGGTCCTGGTATAGGTTTGGGTCTGGGTCCGGGTCTGAGTTTGGGTCCAAGTCTGGGTCCAGGACCAGGTCCAGGTCTGGGTCTAGGTCTGGGCCTAGGTTTGAGTCTGGGTCCGGGTCCAGGTGGTACCTTGGCCTGGGGCGAGGGTCTGGGTCTTGTCTAGATCTGGGTCTGGGTCTGGGTTTAGGTCTGAGTCTGGGTCCAGGTCCGGGTGGTACCTTGGCCTGGGGCGAGGGTCTGGGTCTGTGTCTGGTCTAGATCTAGGTCTAGGTCTGTGTCTTGGTCCGGGTCCAGGTCCAGGTCCGGGTCTTGGTCTTGGTCCGGTCTCGGTCGGGTCTTGGTCTTGGTCTTGGTCTGGTCCTGGTCCGGGTCTGGTCCGGGTCTTGGTCCGGTCTTGGTCCTGGTCGGGTCCGGGTCTTGGTCCTGGTCCTGGTCCTGGTCCGGGTCCCTGGTCCGGGTCTTTGGTCCGGTCTGGTCCGGGTCTTGGTCCTGGTCTTGGTCCTGGTCTGGTCCGGTCCTGGTCCAGGTGGTACCTTGGCCTGGGGCGAGGGTCCGTAGGGGGTGAAGTTGTAGAGCCACTCGGGGAGGCCCAGGTGAGTGATCATGAGTCTGAAGAACGACGTGAAGGACGACGTGAGAAGATGCCAACCCAGAGCCCGGTCCAAGAACCAGACCTCACTGCTCTGAGACACCACACCTGAAACCAGAACCAGAACTAAACCAGGACTAACCCAGAGCCCGGTCCAAGAACCAGACCTCACTGCTCTGAGAACACCACACCAGAACCTGAAACCAGAACCAGAACTAAACCAGGACTAACCCAGAGCAAGAACCGGTCCAAGAACCAGACCCTCACTCCAAGAACCAGCTTCTGAGACACCACACCTGAAACCAGAACCAGAACTAAACCAGGACTAACCCAGAGCCCGGTCCAAGAACCAGACCTCACTGCTCTGAGACACCACACCTGAAACCAGAACCAGAACTAAACCAGGACTAACCCAGAGCCCGGTCCAAGAACCAGACCTCACTGCTCTGAGACACCACACCTGAAACCAGAACCAGAACTAAACCAGGACTAACCCAGAGCCCGGTCCAAGAACCAGACCTCACTGCTCTGAGACACCACACCTGAAACCAGAACCAGAACTAAACCAGGACTAGACCAGGACTAAACCAGAACCAGAACTAAACCAGGACCAGAACTAGACCAGGACTAAACCAGAACCAGAACTAGAACCAGGACTAAGACCAGGACTAGACCAGGACTAAACCAGAACCAGAACTAGACCAGGACTAGACCAGGACTAAACCAGAACCAGAACTAGACTAGACCAGGACTAAACCAGAACCAGAACTAGACCAGGACTAAACCAGGACTAAACCAGAACCAGAACCAGGACTAAACCAGGACTGAACCAGGACTAAACCAGGTCTAAACCAGGACTAAACCAGGACTAAACCAGGACTAAACCAGGACTAAACCCGGACTAAACCAGAACTAAACCCGGTCTAGATGGTTCTGAGGAGACTCGGTACCTGGGGTGCAGTTCCTGTAAACCAAACACACTTTTCCGTTTCCTCCACAAGAATCGAGCTCGAAGATCCGACTGCGAGAGTCAAAGTGCGGAGGAGCCGAGTCTGAAGAGAGACCAGGGTTAGACCTGACACACACACGGAGGGACCTGACACACACGGAGGGACCCGACACACACGGAGGGACCTGACACACACACGGAGGGACCCGACACACACGGAGGGACCCGACACACACACGGAGGGGACACACGGAGGGACCGACACACACGGAGGGACCCGACACACACGGAGGGACCGACACGACACACACGGAGGGACGGAGGGACCGACACACACGGAGGGACCCGACACACACACACGGAGGGGACCCGACACACACACGGAGGGACCCGACACACACGGAGGGACCACGACGACACACGACACACACGGAGGGACCCGACACACACACGGAGGGACCCGACGACACACACGGAGGGACCCGACACACACGGAGGGACCCGACACACACACGGAGGGACCCGACCACACACGGAGGGACCCGACACACACGAGGAGGACCTGACACACACACGGAGGGACCTGACACACATGGAGGGACCCGACACACACGAGGAGGGACCTGACACACACGGAGGGACCTGACACACACACGGAGGGACCTGACACACACGGAGGGACCGACACACCACACGGAGGGACCCGACACACACACGGAGGGACCCGACACACACGGAGGGACCCGACACACACGGAGGGACCCGACACACACACGGAGGGACCCGACACACACGACGGAGGGACCTGACACACACACGGAGGGACCCGACACACACACGGAGGGACCCGACACACACGAGGAGGGACCTGACACACACGGAGGGACCTGACACACACACGGAGGGACCCGACGACACACACACGGAGGGACCTGACACACACACGGGAGGACGACCCGACACACACACACGGAGGGACCCGACACACACGGAGGGACCCGACACACACGGAGGGACCCGACACACACGGAGGGACCCGACACACACACGGAGGGACCCGACACACACGGAGGGACCCGACACACACACGGAGGGACCCGACACACACACGGAGGGACCCGACACACACGGAGGGACCCGACACACACGGAGGGACCCGACACACACACGGAGGACCCGACACACACACACGGAGGACCGACACACACACGGAGGGACCCGACACACACACGGAGGGACCCGACACACACACGGAGGGACCCGACACACACACGGAGGGACCCGACACACACGGAGGGACCTGACACACACGGAGGGACCCGACACACACGGGAGGGGACCCGACACACACGGAGGGACCCGACACACACGGAGGGACGGACCGACACACACGAGGAGGGGACCCGACACACACGGAGGGACCCGACACACACGGAGGGACCCGACACACACACGGAGGGACCCGACACACACACGGAGGGACCCGACACACACACACGGAGGACCCGACACACACGGAGGGACCCGACACACACGGAGGACCCGACACACACACGGAGGGACCCGACACACACGGAGGGACCCGACACACACGGAGGGACCCGACACACACACGGAGGGACCTGACACACACGGAGGGACCTGACACACACGGAGGGACCTGACACACACACGGAGGGACCCGACACACACGGAGGGACCCGACACACACGGAGGGACCCGACACACACGGGAGGGACCGACACACACACGGAGGGACCCGACACACACACACAGAGGGACCTGACACACACATAGGGAGGGACCCGACACACACACGGAGGGACCCGACACACACACGGAGGGACCCGACACACACACGGAGGGACCTGACACACACACGGAGGGACCCGACACACACGGTGGGACCTGACACACACACGGAGAGGAACCTGACACACTCTGACACACACAGGGAGGGACCTGACACACACGGGGAGGAACCTGACACACTCTGACACACTCGGGGAGGGACCTGACACACAGAGAGGACCCAGACCTGCTTCCTTGTCGTCCCAGTCGAGGTCGCAGAGGGACGGGGCGTTGGGCAGAGAGAACAGAGACACGGGCGGCACCAGAGGAACCAGACGAGACACCGAGTTCAACTTCATACAACCCAGAGGAACGCTCTCGTCTGAAACACCACGCACACACACACTTTAACCTGACGCACACTTTACCCTGACGCACACTTTAACCTGACGCACACGTTAACCTGACGCACACTTTACCCTGACGCACACTTTACCCTGACGCACACTTTACCCTGACGCACACTTTAACCTGACGCACACTTTACCCTGACGCACACTTTAACCTGACGCACACTTTAACCTGACGCACACTTTAACCTGACGCACACTTTACCCTGACGCACACTTTAACCTCTCCTGACACACACTTTAACCTCTCCTGACACACACTTTAACCTCTCCTGACACACACTTTAACCTCTCCTGACGCACACTTTAACCTCTCCTGACGCACACTTTAACCTCTCCTGACGCACACTTTAACCTCTCCTGACGCACACTTTAACCTCTCCTGACGCACACTTTAACCTCTCCTGACGCACACTTTAACCTCTCCTGACGCACACTTTAACTCTCCTGACACTTTCTCCTGACGCACACTTTAACCTCTCCTGACGCACACTTTAACCTCTCCTGACACACACTTTAACCTCTCCTGACACACACTTTAACCTCTCCTGACACACACTTTAACCTCCTGACACACACTTTAACCTGACACACACTTTAACCCCTCCTGACACACACTTTAACCTGACACACACTTTAACCTGACACACACTTTAACCTGACACACACTTTAACCTCTCCTGACACGCACTTTAACCTCTCCTGACACACACTTTAACCTCTCCTGACACACACTTTAACCTGACACACACTTTAACCTGACACACACTTTAACCTGACACGCACTTTAACCTCTCCTGACACACACTTTAACCTCTCCTGACACACACTTTAACCTGACACGCACTTTAACCTCTCCTGACGCACACTTTAACCTCTCCTGACACACACTTTAACCTCTCCTGACACACACTTTAACCTCTCCTGACACACACTTTAACCTCTCCTGACACACACTTTAACCTCCTGACACACACTTTAACCTCTCCTGACGCGCACTTTAACCTCTCCTGACGCGCACTTTAACCTCTCCTGACACACACTTTAACCTCTCCTGACACACACTTTAACCTCTCCTGACACACACTTTAACCTCTCCTGACACACACTTTAACCTCTCCTGACACACACTTTAACCTCTCCTGACACACACTTTAACCTCTCCTGACACACACTTTAACCTCTCCTGACACACACTTTAACCTCTCCTGACACGCACACTTTAACCTCTCCTGACACGCACTTTAACCTCTCCTGACACACACACTTTAACCTCTCCTGACACACACTTTAACCTCTCCTGACACGCACTTTAACCTCTCCTGACACGCACTTTAACCTCTCCTGACACGCACTTTAACCTCTCCTGACACACACTTTAACCTCTCCTGACACGCACTTTAACCTCTCCTGACACGCACTTTAACCTCTCCTGACACGCACTTTAACCTCTCCTGACACACACTTTAACCTCTCCTGACACACACTTTAACCTGACACACACTTTAACCTGACACGCACTTTAACCTGACACACACTTTAACCTGACACACACTTTAACCTGACACACACTTTAACACTAAACAGAGTGTGACTGAGTCGTACTGTCTAGTTTGACGTTCCAGTTCAGGGTGAATCCGTCGGTCGTCAGGTAAAAATCCCGCAGATCTTCAGGTAAAATACAAGTGTTTTTCTGCAAAAGAATCAGAGACAGAAACAAAAACAGACGACGTCAACGCACATCGAAACAAACAACCAACAAGTTCTGTTATAATCCTCTCCTATCTAAAAATCTAAAAATAAGAAGATAAGAAATAAAATCTAAAAATACAAAAGTAATAAAATGTAAAAATAAAATGTAAAAATAAAAAAAAAGTAATGAAATTTAAAAAAATAAAAAGTAATGAAATTTAAAAATAAAAAGATACTTTTTTTATTTTTGCATTTTATTACTGTTTTATTTTTAGATTTTATTAAGTAATAAAATGTAAAAATAAAAAAGTAATAAAATGTAAAAATAAACAGATAATTAATAAAATCTAAATATAAAAAGTAATAAAATCTCAAATTTAAAAAGTAATAAAATCTAAAAATAAGAAGATAAGAAATAAAATGTAAAAATAAAAAAGTAATGAAAGCTAAAAATAAAAAGAAAAGTAATTAAATCTAAAAATAAAAAAGTAGCAAAATGTAAAAATAAAAAAGTAATGAAATGTAAAAATAAAAAAGTAATGTAAAAATGTAAAAATAAAAAAGTAATAAAATGTAAAAATAAAAAAAGTAATAAAATGTAAAAATAAAAAAGTAATAAAATGTAAAAATAAAAAGATAAGTAATTAAATCTAAAAGTAATAAAATCTAAAAATCAAAAACAGAATAGAAAGATAATGAATAAAATCTGCGACAAACAGAGCAGAGTGTTCAGTGTTTTCTGGTGTGAGGAGCATTATAACGCTTTAATAAAACTCTTGTGTATAATATTTGTGTGTATCTCCACAGTGTCAGAGTCTGACCTGCTCCCAGGACAACAGGCTCCTCTTCTCCGCTGGCTCTCGCTCTGCAAAACGAACGTCTGCCACACCGGGCATGTTCTCTGTACGAACAAAAAAACAACATATAAACCAACGAACGTCTGCCACACCGGGCATGTTCTCTGTACGAACAAAAACAACAACATATAAACCAACGAACGTCTGCCACACCGGGCATGTTCTCTGTACGAACAAAAAAACAACATTATAAACCAACGAACGTCTGCCACACCGGGCATGTTCTCTGTACGAACAAAAAAACAACATATAAACCAACGAACGTCTGCCACACCGGGCATGTTCTCTGTACGAACAAAAAACAACATATAAACCAACGAACGTCTGCCACACCGGGCATGTTCTCTGTACGAACAAAAAAACAACATATAAACCAACGAACGTCTGCCACACCGGGCATGTTCTCTGTACGAACAAAAAAACAACAATAAACCAACGAACGTCTGCCACACCGGGCATGTTCTCTGTACGAACAAAAAACAACATATAAACCAACGAACGTCTGCCACACCGGGCATGTTCTCTGTACGAACAAAAAAACAACATTTAAACCATCAACATGCTCATTTAGGACTAAACCAGGACTAAACTAGGTCTAAACCAGGACTAAACCAGGACTAAACCAGGACTGAACCAGGACTAAACCAGGACTGAACCAGGACTAAACCAGGACTAAACCAGTTCTAAACCAGGACTGAACCAGGACTAAACCAGGACTGAACCAGGACTGAACCAGGACTAAACCAGGACTAAACCAGGTCTAAACCAGGACTGAACCAGGACTAAACCAGGACTAAACCAGGTCTAAACCAGGACTAAACCAGGACTAAACTAGGTATAAAACAGGTCTAAACCAGGACTAAACCAGGTCTAAACCAGGTCTAAACCAGGACTAAAACCAGGTCTAAACCAGGACTAAACCAGGACTAAACCAGGACTAAACCAGGTCTAAACCAGGTCTAAACCAGGACTAAACCAGGACTAAACCAGGACTAAACCAGGTCTAAACCAGGTCTAAACCAGGACTAAACCAGGACTAAACCAGGTCTAAACCAGGTCTCTAAACCAGGACTAAACCAGGTCTAAACCAGTCTAAAACCAGGTCTAAACCAGGACTACACCAGGACTACACCAGGACTACACCAGGTCTAAACCAGGTCTAAAACCAGGACTAAACCAGGACTAAACCAGGTCTAAACCAGGACTAAACCAGGACTAAACCAGGTCTAAACCAGGTCTAAACCAGGTCTAAACCAGGACTACACCAGGACTACACCAGGACTAAACCAGGATTAAACCAGGTCTAAACCAGGACTAAACCAGGACTACACCAGGACTAAGCCAGGACTAAGCCAGGACTAAGCCAGGACTACACCAGGACTACACCAGGACTACACCAGGTCTAAACCAGGTCTAAACCAGGACTAAACCAGGACTAAACCAGGTCTAAACCAGGATTAAACCAGGACTACACCAGGACTACACCAGGTCTAAACAAGGTCTAAACCAGGACCACACCAGGACTAAACCAGATCTAAACCAAGATTAAACCAGGACTACACCAGGTCTAAACAAGGTCTAAACCAGGACCACACCAGGACTAAACCAGGACTAAACCAGGTCTAAACCAGGACTAAACCAGGACCACACCAGGACTACACCAGGACTAAGCCAGGACTAAACCCGGTCTACACCAGGACTAAACCAGGACTAAACCAGGACTACACCAGGTCTAAACCAGGTCTAAACCAGGACTAAACCAGGACTAAACCAGGACTAAACCAGGACTACACCAGGACTAAGCCAGGACTAAGCCAGGACTACACCAGGACTACACCAGGACTACACCAGGTCTAAACCAGGACTAAACCAGGTCTAAACCAGGTCTAAACCAGGACTACACCAGGTCTAAACCAGGTCTAAACCAGGTCTAAACCAGGACTAAACCAGGACTAAACCAGGACTACACCAGGACTAAGCCAGGACTAACCAGGACTACACCAGGACTACACCAGGACTACACCAGGTCTAAAACCAGGTCTAAACCAGGACTAAACCAGGACTAAACCAGGTCTAAACCAGGATTAAACCAGGACTACACCAGGACTACACCAGGTCTAAACAAGGTCTAAACCAGGACCACACCAGGACTAAACCAGAATTAAACCAGGTCTAAACCAGGTCTAAACCAAGATTAAACCAGGACTACACCAGGTCTAAAAACAAGGTCTAAACCAGGACCACACCAGGACTAAACCAGGACTAAACCAGGTCTAAACCAGGACTAAACCAGGACCACTAAACCAGGACTACACCAGGTCTAAACCAGGACTAAACCAGGACTAAACCAGGACTACACCAGGACTAAACCAGGACTAAACCAGGACTCAAACCAGGTCTAAACCAGGACTAAACCAGGACTAAACCAGGACTAAACCAGGTCTAAACCAGGTCTAAAACAGTTTCTGTGATATAAACATCACTGCAGCAAATCGTCCAAATGCTCGTTTCTGGGCTAAAATGAACGTAACACGCACCGAGAATCCGAATAATCCCTAAAGTCAACCTTTCGGCGACTCCTTTAAACGCCGCATTGTCTTTGACTTCGTCCATTTTGATAAATTCGTTAAAAAAAAAGAAGAGTTTTTCAGAGTCTCGTCCTCCTCCTGCCACCGCCGCCTATCAACAACGGGAAGCACACACAGCTGACGGACGGGCGCCTCAGCCAATAGGAGCCCCGCATTCCATCCTCTGAGCCAATCAGCGCGTGAGTTTACTGAACGAGGCGGGGTCCCCGGGGTCCGTAGTGACGCACGGCGCGGTGGGAGCGGCGGTTCATTCAAAATGGCGGCGGTGACAACAAACCCGCACAAAACGGGGATTTTTTGGATGGAAAACGGTGAATTTTACTCAAATAAACTCGTAATTTAGCCTAGAAATGTAGTAAACACGCTCTGGTTTAGTATTTATCTGGAAACATAGGCTTTAAATGTGTTTGGGGCTTGTTTTGAGCTGTTAAGATACTTTATAAACTTGCTCGCTTCAGTTTTATTTCATCAGTGACTTTTAGATTTGTTAACACTTTATTATAAGTTTTATTTTAAGTTAATAATCTTGACTTATCTGTTATTTGTTCGTATTTAGTGACAGATGAAGAACAGCCTCTGGTGTTTGTTTCTGGTAAGACAAATTCAACAAAATATACACAACTTTTACTCATATTTAGAGTCCAGACGTCCCTGTGTCTCCGTGTCTCCTGTCCTCATGTTCCAGTGTCTGTGTCCCTGTGTCTCCGTGTCCCCTGTCCTCATGTGTCCCTGTGTCCTCATGTTCCAGTGTCCCTGTGTCCCCTGTCCTCCCTGTCCTCGTGTGTCCCTGTGTCCTCATGTCCCGTGTGTCTCTGTGACTCCTGTGTCCCCTATGTCCTCGTGTGTCCCCGTGTCTCTATGTCCCTTGTGTCCCCTTGTTTCTGTGTCCTGGGACAGTCACAGTTGTGTCTCTATGTCCCTTGTGCTCCTTGTGTCCCTGTGTCCCTGTGTCCCCTATGTCCTTGTGTGTCCCTGTGTCTATGTGTCCCTTGTGTCCCCTTTTCTCTGTGTCTCTGTGTCCCAGCAGATTTATACAAAACCACAGATTTGTCCCAGTTTTGTACAAGAAATGTCCCAGTGTCTCTATTTGGACCAGTCTGATCCTGCCAACAGTCAGAACTAAACCAGGACTAAACCAGAACTAAACCGGTCTCAATCCCCGGCTCAGTCATGGTCTGGTTATGGTCCCAGTCCTGGTCAGGTCCCGGTTTAGTCCCGGTTTAGTCCCGGTTTAGTCCCGGTTTAGACCTGGTTCAGTCCTGGTTCAGTCCTGGTTCAGTCCTGGTTTAGACCTGGTTTAGTCCTGGTTTAGACCTGGTTTAGTCCTGGTTTAGTCCTGGTTTAGTCCTGGTTCAGTCCTGGTTTAGACCTGGTTCAGTCCTGGTTTAGACCTGGTTCAGTCCTGGTTTAGACCTGGTTCAGTCCTGGTTTAGTCCTGGTTTAGTCCTGGTTTAGTCCGTTATCCGTTTTTTTTTTTTTTTTTTTTTTCATTTTTCATTTAAACACAAAATCGAAAACTAAAAAAAAGCAAATCATTATCTGTTTTTTTTTTTTTTTCATTTTGATTTTGGAGACAAATTTTGAAGAAAATTGTTTTTTCGTTTTGTTATTTTTGATTTTATTTTGAAAAACGAACAAATAAACAAATGACATAACGACATACAGACCAGTGAAGCTGCCCAACGAAAAAATTTTATAAAAAAAAAAAAAAAACATCTCTAAAATAAAACCAGCGCTGCTGTAGTCCAGGCCTGAGCTACAATTATTAAATTTGTTTATTTTGTGATTCTAAATGAGTTTAAAACTGAAGCTGCACAAGGCCCAGGTACATTTACAGAACAAATTTTAGTTCAATAAAAGTTTAAACTGTCAGAGAAATGCTTCCTGCTCGAAGTTTGATGAAATATGTCAGAGTAAGTTTGTTTTGTAGAGCGTTCAGACAAAATTATGACACAATATTCTACAAAAGTCAAATGAAAATAATAACTTCACTCCTCAGTTATTTAGTTTTTGTTTTGTTTGTGTGTAATGTTGAGTAGAGCCCGACTGATATGGATTTTGTTGTGGCCGATATGAAACCGATATAATGAGAGTTGGAGCTGCCGATATATTTAGTGATGTAAAAATTCACTGTAAATGTTGAATTATTTAAAAAAAAACTTAGGTTTGGCTCTGGTGGATTTTAAACTGGGTTTATTTAGGAAACATTTATTGTTCTTCTGCCTCTTTACATGACATGTCAAAGGACTAAAGCAGGACTAAACCAGAACTAAACCAGGACTGAGTGTCGGGACTCGGTCTCTGTCTCTCTCCGTCTCTCGAGCCCAAGATTAGTCCTGGTTTATTTATTTTATGCTGAATATATTTATGCACATGCAGATTTTCAAAAGTTTGGTTTTGAGCCGCTGCCGCTGTCAAACTCCCACGAGTCTGAACGCGACGTGAAGAGAAAAAAAGTGAGAGAAAGAGAAAACACGGCTCCCAATAAGGATCAGGCTCCCGTCGTTCTCTTCAAAGAGCCGGATCTAAGAGCCGCTTCGTTCACGACCGACTCATCACGAGTAAATAAACAATCACTATTAGTCTTTAGCCGTAAATGCTGCGCCGCGATAATTAATGATATGTGTAAATGTGGATCATTCACACGTCTGTTCACACTCATTTACATCAATGCAGCTGCAGAAACAAATATACAAACAATATAATCACTTTACAACAGATCAATAGAAAACAGACTGTTTATGTGAGACACAACAGATCATCAATAACCTATAAACAAATGATCAAAGTATCTTCAAAGTCGACATATTTCAACACTCAGACTCACACAGGCTCCTCCCACATCACAAGTCTGAACTAATAAATGTCCTTTTAATCCAGACTCAAACCGATTGTTCATAAAAAGAAAATAATGTCAGTGTTGCACATGGATCTGTGTGTGTGAGTGTAAACAAACACACGTGACTCTGTGGTGTGTTCAGGGACAGTACGACACACACACAGAGACAAATGACTCCACAGATAAATACTGACGTGGAGTCACATATTTGGACATTTATCTGTCTGTAAATTGGATTAAATGAACAGAATGTAGAGAGTCTAAGATTTATAACGACGTATCACATGACCACGGGAAATATCGGCCCATATCTGCAAGTATATCGGCCGATAGTCGATATACTTCCAGGTGCCCATATCGGCCAACCGATATATCAGTCGGGCTCTAATGTTGATTCACAGGTTTGAACCGAGGGGCTCCTTTTGTGTCTGGACCTCACGGCACCGAGAAAAGAGGAACCAGACCAGAGCGGACGCAGACGCAGGCGGTGAGGGGGAGATCAGGAGGTCAGAAGCCCAGGCACAGGGAGCGTTCAGGGGGCAGCAGCTCAGAGAAAGTCCCCGTCTCTGCACCGGACCCAGAGGACCGGACCAGCCGAGGACCCAGCGCTTTTCTGTCACCGTCACAGGTAGAAGTTCTGAAAAGTATCTGAAAATCACACGAGTCCGTCCACATGAAATCAGCCGCCCTCCCCGATGAGCCGCCTCAGATTTGCCTGGAAACATTTGTAAAAATTTCTAAAATTACCAAATGAAAGAATCTCAAATTTTAGTTCAGTCCCTCGAGTCGTTCCTGAGTTTTGACCTGGTGTTCACTTTTTCAGAAACTTTAATTTATAAACATGTTTGAGAAACCAGAACTTCATCAAAAAATAGAACTAGAAGCTGAAAATGTGTGTTATTGTATTATAAATGTGTCAGATATTGTGTTTAGTGCTGTCAAGACAATAAAAAAATGGAGAGATTAATTTATTATGATCTGTAATGAATGAATCTAATTCATCTCTTTTTAATCTCACCTAAAAATTGCTGAGAAAAGCTTCAACATGAGCTATTTTCATTTAAATTCATGATCACATTATTTTTATACTATCATTAGTTTTAGTTTTAGTTTAGTTTAATTTATTGTACTTACTTAGTGTCACACACCGTTTAATTGGTGCCCAGCTCACATGGGTTTATAAAACACATAAAACAATCAGCAGACAGATCACACATCAAATATAAAATGTCCTTTTACAGACGTCCCAAACTTTCAACACAAACTGAGCCAACGTAAAAACACCACATTTAAACAAACACTTGAGTCTCTCCTCATCAGACACAACAAACAAACAGAGTTGGGAAGTTTACTTTTCAAATGTAATCCCCTACAGATTACAGATTACACACCCCAAAATGTAGTTTGTAACGTAATCCATTAAATTACTTAAAGTGAGTAATGTAATCTGATTACTTTGGATTACTTGATTTGCTGTAGAGAAACAAAGACGAGGAAATCTTCACATAAGAAGTTTTGTCTGATAAAAGAAAATAAAAAGGCCAAACTTTACTGAACCAAATTATAAATATTATTGATAGAAAACGAAGAAACACGTCCACACAGCAGGATTTAGTCCTGATAAATCCTGGTTTAGTCCTGGTTTAGTCCTGGTTTAGTCCTGGTTTAGTCCTGGTTTAGAGCTGGTTTAGACCTGGTTTAGACCTGGTTTAGACCTGGTTTAGACCTGGTTTAGTCCTGGTTTAGACCTGGTTTAGACCTGGTTTAGTCCTGGTTTAGTCCTGGTTTAGTTCTGGTTTAGTTCCTGGTTTAGACCTGGTTTAGACCTGGTTTAGTCCTGGTTTAGACCTGGTTTAGACCTGGTTTAGTCCTGGTTTAGTTCCTGGTTTAGTCCTGGTTTAGACCTGGTTTAGACCTGGTTTAGACCTGGTTTAGTTCTGGTTTAGTCCTGGACCACTGAGTGATTCCACAAATATAAAGACACGTGGGAACAGAAAATAAAGTTTTACCATTTAAATATTTAAAGTGTAAAATCACAGGAGATTATTTAAAGAAACAGAGATCAGATTTGGTGTTGAGTTTGTTTTTATCTTGTAAATGGATTTTGAATTGTTTGTGTCGTGACGTCTCTGTTTTCTCTGGTGTTTGGTTGTTTGGTTGTGTTCAGATGGAGCGACAGAGGAGCCAGGTCTCCCTTAAAGACCTGTGTCCTGAAGATAAGAAGAGGATCGCCAACCTGATCCAGGAGCTGGCCAGGTACAGCCCCGTGTTCCTCTTTAACTCCTCCTCCTGAGGAACAAACTGATCCAGGATCTGCCAGGTACAGCCCCGTGTTCCTCTTTAACTCCTCCTCCTGAGGAACAAACTGATCCAGGATCTGCCAGGTACAGCCCCGTGTTCCTCTTTAACTCCTCCTCCTGAGGAACAAACTGATCCAGGATCTGCCAGGTACAGCCCCGTGTTCCTCTTTAACTCCTCCTCCTGAGGAACAAACTGATCCAGGATCTGCCAGGTACAGCCCCGTGTTCCTCTTTAACTCCTCCTGAGGAACAAACTGATCCAGGATCTGCCAGGTACAGCCCCGTGTTCCTCTTTAACTCCTCCTGAGGAACAAACTGATCCAGGATCTGCCAGGTACAGCCCCGTGTTCCTCTTTAACTCCTCCTCCTGAGGAACAACCTGATCCAGGATCTGCCAGGTACAGCCCCGTGTTCCTCTTTTACTCCTCCTCCTGAGGAACAACCTGATCCAGGATCTGCCAGGTACAGCCCCGTGTTCCTCTTTTACTCCTCCTCCTGAGGAACAACCTGATCCAGGATCTGCCAGGTACAGCCCCGTGTTCCTCTTTAACTCCTCCTCCTGAGGAACAACCTGATCCAGGATCTGCCAGGTACAGCCCCGTGTTCCTCTTTTACTCCTCCTGAGGAACAACCTGATCCAGGATCTGCCAGGTACAGCCCCGTGTTCCTCTTTAACTCCTCCTCCTGAGGAACAACCTGATCCAGGATCTGCCAGGTACAGCCCCGTGTTCCTCTTTAACTCCTCCTCCTGAGGAACAACCTGATCCAGGATCTGCCAGGTACAGCCCCGTGTTCCTCTTTAACTCCTCCTCCTGAGGAACAACCTGATCCAGGATCTGCCAGGTACAGCCCCGTGTTCCTCTTTAACTCCTCCTCCTGAGGAACAACCTGATCCAGGATCTGCCAGGTACAGCCCCGTGTTCCTCTTTAACTCTTCCTCCTGAGGAACAAACTGATCCAGGATCTGCCAGGTACAGCCCCGTGTTCCTCTTTAACTCCTCCTCCTGAGGAACAGTCAGAGTCGAGGTGTGTGAAGGTTTGATTATCTCCTGTGGGAGAAAGTTTGATTCATAATACAGCGAAACATAAAAAGATTTAATAATCAGCACGTTTACACGAGAGCTGGACTGAAAAGATTAAAATGAAATAAAATGAAATAAAACGAACCTCCTCCCCCCAGACGCTCACACACAACAAATAAAAAAAACATTTAAACACTTTTATTTACACGGAAAATATTTAAATTCTGAATTAAAAAACAAAAACCATCCTGTAACGTGGCCTGTGTGTGTTTGTGTGTGTGTATTTGTGTGTGTGTTTGTGTATTTATTTGTGTATTTGTGTGTTTGTGTATTTATTTGTGTTTTATTTGTGCGTTGTGTGTGTTTGTGTTTGTGTGTGTTTGTGTGTTTTATGTGTGTGTTTGTGTTTGTGTGTGTGTTTTATGTGTGTGTTTGTGTATTTATTTGTGTATTTGTGCGTTGTGTGTGTGTTTTATGTGTGTGTTTGTGTATTTATTTGTGTATTTGTGCGTTGTGTGTGTGTTTGTGTGTGTGTTTTATGTGTGTGTTTGTGTATTTATTTGTGTATTTGTGTGTTGTGTGTGTTGTGTGTGTGTTTTATTGTGTTTTATTTGGTGTGTTTGTGTGTGTTTGTGTGTTTTATGTGTGTGTTTGTGTGTGTGTTTTATGTGTGTTTGTGTATTTATTTGTGTGTGTTGTGTGTGTTTGTGTGTGTGTTTTATGTGTGTGTTTGTGTGTTTTATGTGTGTTTGTGTATTTATTTGTGTTTTGTGTGTTTTATGTGTGTGTTTGTGTGTGTGTTTTATGTGTGTGTTGTGTGTGTTTGTGTGTTTTATTTGTGTGTATTTGTGTGTTGTGTGTGTTTTTGTGTGTTTGTGTGTTTTATTTGTGTGTATTTGTGTGTTTGTGTGTGTTTGTGTGTTTTATGTGTGTGTTTGTGTGTTTTATGTGTGTGTTTGTGTGTGTGTTTTATGTGTGTGTTTGTGTGTTTTATTTGTGTGTATTTGTGTGTTTGTGTGTGTTTGTGTGTGTGTTTTATGTGTGTGTATTTGTGTGTTTGTGTGTGTTTGTGTGTTTTATGTGTGTGTTTGTGTGTGTGTTTTATGTGTGTTTGTGTATTTTTTGTGTGTTGTGTGTGTTTGTGTGTGTATTTTATGTGTGTGTTTGTGTGTTTTATTTGTGTGTATTTGTGTGTTTGTGAGTGTGTTTGTGTATTTATTTGTGTGTATTTGTGTGTATTTGTGTGTGTTTGTGTGTGTGTTTTATGTGTGTGTTTGTGTGTTTTATTTGTGTATTTATTTGTGTGTTTGTGTGTTTTATTTGTGTGTATTTGTGTGTTTTACTTGTGTGTTTGTGTGTTTTATTTGTGTGTTTGTGTGTTTTATTTGTGTATTTGTGTGTATTTATGTGTGTGTTTGTGTGTTTTATTTGTGTGTATTTGTGTGTATTTGTGTGTATTTATTTGTGTATTTGTGTGTTTTATTTGTGTGTTTTATTTGTGTGTATTTGTGTGTTTGTGTGTTTTATGTGTGTGTGTGTGTGTTTTATGTGTGTGTTTGTGTGTTTTATTTGTGTGTATTTGTGTGTTGTGTGTGTTTGTGTGTGTTTGTGTTTTATTTGTGTGTTTTATGTGTTTTATTTGTGTGTATTTGTGTGTTGTGTGTGTTTGTGTATTTATTTGTGTATTTGTGTGTGTTTGTGTGTGTGTTTGTGTGTGTGTGTTTGTGTGTTGTGTGTATTTGTGTGTATTTGTGTGTGTGTTTTATGTGTGTGTTTGTGTGTTTTATTTGTGTATTTGTGTGTGTTTGTGTGTGTGTTTTATGTGTGTGTTTGTGTGTTTTATTTGTGTATTTGTGTGTATTTGTGTGTGTGTTTTATGTGTGTGTTTGTGTGTGTGTTTTATGTGTGTGTTTGTGTGTTTTATTTGTGTATTTGTGTGTATTTGTGTGTGTGTTTTATGTGTGTGTTTGTGTGTGTGTTTTATGTGTGTGTTTGTGTGTTTTATTTGTGTATTTGTGTGTATTTGTGCGTTGTGTGTGTGTTTGTGTGTGTGTTTTATGTGTGTGTTTGTGTGTTTTATTTGTGTATTTGTGTGTGTGTTTTATGTGTGTGTTTGTGTGTTTTATTTGTGTGTTTTATTTGTGTGTATTTGTGTGTACAGGGTGAGTGAGGAGCAGGAGTTGTCGGCTCAGCGTTTCACAGATGAACAGGGACAGTTTGAGCAGAAGATCCTGGAGCTGGAGGAACAGAACCTGATCATCGCTGAAGAACGAGAGAGTATCCTCCAAACGCCCGAGCGACTCATGTGTCTGTGTCACCGCTCTGCCTGGAAATGTCCCGCAGTGTGACTTTAAACAGCTCCACTTCACATTCACCCAGTCACAGGACGATTTACAGCTCAAATATCCCCCGAAAAACAGAGCGGACTACATAGACCATGATCCTTTGCTCCGTTTCAAAGTACTTTACACAGACTAAACCAGGACTAAACTAGGACTGAACCAGGACTAAAGCAAGAAGTAAACCGGGACTAAAGCGGAACTAAACCAGGACTAAACTGGAACTAAACCAGGACTAAACTGGAACTAAACCAGGACTAAAAGAGGATTAAACCAGGACTAAACCGGGACTAAAATAGGACTAAACCAGGACTAAACTAGGACTGAACCAGGACTAAAGCAAGAAGTAAACCGGGACTAAAGCGGAACTAAACCAGGACTAAACTGGAACTAAACCAGGACTAAACTGGAACTAAACCGGGACTAAAAGAGGATTAAACCAAGACTAAACCGGGACTAAACCAGGACTAAACCAGGACTAAACTGGAACTAAACCAGGACTAAAAGAGGATTAAACCGGGACTAAACCGGGACTAAAATAGGACTAAACCAGGACTAAACCAGGACTAACCGCTCCTCTTGGTCAGGTGATGTGATGATGATGATATGACTCGGTGTTGTGTTCCTGAAGTGTGAGTCAGGTCTTCAGCAGCAGTACAGAGAGTGTCAGGAACTTCTGGAACTCTACCAGGTCTACCTCAAAGACCAGCAGCACCGACTCGACTCACAGGTAACACACACACCGACTCGACTCACAGGTAACACACACACCGACTCGACTCACAGGTAACACACACACCGACTCGACTCGCAGGTAACACACACCGACTCGACTCGCAGGTAACACACACACCGACTCGACTCGCAGGTAACACACCGACTCAACTCACAGGTAACACACACACCGACTCGACTCACAGGTAACACACACACCGACTCGACTCGCAGGTAACACACCGACTCAACTCACAGGTAACACACACACCGACTCGACTCACAGGTAACACACACACCGACTCGACTCACAGGTAACACACACACCGACTCGACTCGCAGGTAACACACACACCGACTCGACTCGCAGGTAACACACACACCGACTCGACTCACAGGTAACACACACACCGACTCGACTCACAGGTAACACACACACCGACTCGACTCTTGGTCTTGGACAGGTCTTGGTCTTGGTCTTGGACAGGTCTTGGTCAGGTCTTGGTCAGGTCTTGGTCTTGGTCTTGGTCTTGGTCTTGAACAGGTCTTGGTCTTGGTCTTGGACAGGTCTTGGTCTTGGTCTTGAACAGGTCTTGGTCTTGAACAGGTCTTGGTCTTGGTCTTGGACAGGTCTTGGACAGGTCTTGTCAGGTCTTGGTCAGGTCTTGGTCAGGTCTTGGTCTTGGTCTTGGTCTTGAACAGGTCTTGGTCTTGGTCTTGGTCAGGTCTTGGTCTTGGTCTTGGACAGGTCTTGGTCTTGGTCTTGGACAGGTCTTGGACAGGTCTTGGTCAGGTCTTGGTCTTGGTCTTGGTCTTGGTCTTGAACAGGTCTTGGTCTTGGTCTGCACTGACCTGACTGCACCTGTTGTTCTCTTGTTTGTTTTGAATTAGGTTTGAGGATGGAGTTGTAAATAGGAGATAGATGGTGTCTGAGGCCTCCATTTCTGTTTAGAGAAGGATTCTCTTTCTTAACAAAAATGTCTTCTTTCACTCTCCTCTCGAACCAGTTCTTTTCTCTGGCTTAATTCTGTACCTGGTTGTCCTCAAACGAGTGGAGATGAACAGCAGACTGAGGTCCTGTGTTGCTCTCTCGTCTGTGTTTGTTCATCCTCTTGTGAAGTGTCTGTGTAGTTTCTCCAGTGTAGCGTTCACTTCAGTCTTCACTGCACTGAATCCCTGCAGACAGAAGTAAAGAAGAGTGACCAGAGTCTGACCAGAAGTGAAGCAGCAGCTTGGACGAGCTGCGAAACGTCTTCAACCAAACTCACTTTTGTCCAGTCGACAAACTGAATTTTCTCCTCGACATAAACAGTTTCATTTTGTGTTTTTGTGTTTCGTGTTGTGTTGTTGTGTTTCATGTTGTGTTTTTGTGTTTCATGTTGTGTTGTTGTGTTTCACGTTGTGTTGTTGTGTTTCATGTTTTGTTGTTGTGTTTCACGTTTGTGTTTGTTGTGTTGTTGTGTTTCATGTTGTGTTGTTGTGTGTTCATGTGTGTTGTTGTGTGTCATGTTGTGTGTGTTGTGTGTCACGTTGTGTTTCATGTTGTGTTGTTGTGTTTCATGTTGTGTTGTTGTGTGTCATGTTGTGTTTTTGTTGTGTTTCATTTGTGTGTTCATGTTGTGTTGTTGTGTTCATGTTGTGTTGTTGTGTGTCATGTTGTGTTTTTGTGTTTCATGTTGTGTTGTTGTGTTTCATGTTGTGTTGTTGTGTTTCATGTTGTGTTGTTGTGTTTCATGTTGTGTTGTTGTGTTTCATGTTGTGTTGTTGTGTTTCACGTTGTGTTGTTGTGTTTCATGTTGTGTTGTTGTGTGTCATGTTGTGTTTTTGTGTTTCATGTTGTGTTGTGTGTTGTGTGTTGTGTTTCATGTTGTGTTGTTGTGTGTCATGTTGTGTTTTTGTGTTTCATGTTGTGTTGTTGTGTGTCATGTTGTGTGGTTGTGTGTCATGTTGTGTTTTTGTGTTTCATGTTGTGTTGTTGTGTGTCACGTTGTGTTGTTGTGTTTCATGTTGTGTTGTTGTGTGTTTCATGTTGTGTTGTTGTGTTTCATGTTGTGTTGTTGTGTGTCACGTTGTGTTGTTGTGTTTCATGTTGTGTTGTTGTGTTCATGTGTGTGTGTTGTGTTTCATGTTGTGTTGTGTGTGTTGTGTGTTTCATGTTGTTGTGTTTCATGTTGTGTTGTTGTTGTGTTTCATGTTGTGTTGTTGTGTGTTGTTGTGTTTCATGTTGTGTTGTTTGTGTTCATGTGTTGTGTTGTCATGTGTGTGTTGTGTGTCACGTTGTGTTTCATGTTGTGTTGTTGTGTGTCACGTTGTGTTTCATGTTGTGTTGTGTTGTGTGTGTTGTGTGTTTGTTGTGTGTCACGTTGTGTTTCATGTTGTGTTGTTGTGTGTCACGTTGTGTTTCATGTTGTGTTGTTGTGTGTCATGTTGTGTTTCATGTTGTGTTGTTGTGTTTCATGTTGTGTTGTTGTGTGTCACGTTGTGTTTCATGTTGTGTTGTTGTGTGTCATGTTGTGTTGTGTGTGTTTCATGTTGTGTTGTTGTGTGTCACGTTGTGTTTCATGTTGTGTGTCACGTTGTGTTTCATGTTGTGTTGTTGTGTGTCACGTTGTGTTTCATGTTGTGTTGTGTTCATGTTGTGTTGTTGTGTTTCATGTTGTGTTGTTGTGTGTTCACGTTGTTGTTTGTTTGTGTGTTGTTGTGTGTCACGTTGTGTTTCATGTTGTGTTGTTGTGTTTCATGTTGTGTTGTTGTGTTTCATGTTGTGTTGTTGTGTTTCATGTTGTGTTGTTGTTGTTGTGTGTCATGTTGTGTTGTTGTGTTTCATGTTGTGTTGTTGTGTTGTCACGTTGTGTTTCATGTTGTGTTGTTGTGTTTCATGTTGTGTTTCATGTTGTGTTCACGTTGTGTTTCATGTTGTGTTGTTGTGTGTCACGTTGTGTTTCATGTTGTGTTGTTGTGTGTCATGTTGTGTTTCATGTTGTGTTGTTGTGTGTCACGTTGTGTTGTTGTGTTGTCATGTTGTGTTTCATGTGTGTTGTTGTTGTGTTTCATGTTGTGTGTGTGTTGTGTTTCATGTTGTTGTGTTTCATGTTGTGTTGTGTGTGTTGTGTGTCATGTTGTGTGTTCATGTTGTGTTTCATTGTTGTGTTGTTGTGTGTCACGTGTTGTTGTGTTTCATGTTGTGTTGTTGTGTTTCATGTTGTGTTGTTGTGTGTCATGTTGTGTTTCATGTTGTGTTGTTGTGTTTCATGTTGTGTTGTTGTGTGTCACGTTGTGTTGTTGTGTTGTTGTGTGTCCAGGTGAGAGCGCAGGAGGAGCAGGAGGCCTCACGCTGCAGCTCACACGTCTGCGCAGGTAACGCCTCAGTGTGTGACGGCTCGTACCTCGGCCTGGCTCCCCCTCCTGGACGCCGGGCGCATTACCGTCCTCCTGCCCGTCCTGCACCCGTCCCCCTGCCACCGAACCACCACCAACACCCCCACCTCACCACGACGCACCAACCTGTCCACCAGAACCTCCATCCCACCGCAGACCCGCCCCCTCAGGTCAGAGCCTCCACCACCTCCTCAGGGCTCAGTCTTCTGTCAGCAGGGGGCAGTGTGCTCATGGTTCAATATCTGGGTTTCACGTGACGTCACAGGGCGACGTTTGTCAGCGCGCAAAATCAGACGGAGGGCAGGAAGTGAACCGACTGGAGGAAAATGCCGATGTGTTGTGTCGTTTACGGCTGTGCCAATCGTTCTAACCCAGAGAAGGAAAAACCATTTATTTAGAGAACCGAATAGGGATGGGCATGATTAGCTTCTGTTTGGCTCAAGAAACCAAGACTGAACCAAGACTGAACCAGGGCTAAACTAGGACTAGTAACATTTTTAACCCTCACCAAACCGTCACCAAACCACCACCAAAATGTCACCAAAATGTCAAACCACTAAAACGTTGCCAAACCACCACCCTCATGTTTAAATATAAAATATTTAAATGTGCTTTTTTCTGCTCAAAATGTGCCTCGTGTCAGTGCAGATAAATCGTGTCAGAAACTCCTGAGGTCAGAGTAGGTCTGCTGAGTTTATTGTCGCTTCAGAATCAGGAGGTGCACTGTTAGCATGCTAGTTGTCGTCTGACTGAGCGTGTGTTTTGTGCAGCAGGTGCACGCTCCCCCGCCGCCCGTCGTCCCTGTGAGCTGTGAGAGCTGTGAGCGCCACCGCCCCAGACGCCACGACCCGGACCCGAGACCGGACCCGAGACCGGACCCGAGACCGGACCCGAGACCGGACCCGAGACCGGACCCGAGACCGGACCTCGAGACCGGACCCGGGTCCAGACAGCGGATATGAGACGCAGCCACTGAACAACACCTGCAACAAGCACCAGAGGTAAGAGTGGAGGTCTCCTGTGGGGCATCTGACGCTCAGGACGAGGGAGGGCATCTGACACGTTTCCCCCCTGCAGGTCCACAGAAACCTGCTCCAGTCCAGGTCTGGGCTCTCAGGACTGGGACCAGAGGAAGAACCAGCTCCTGATGCAGAAGATCCAACTGGAGCAGGAGAGAGAGAGACTGCAGAGGAGACTGAGCGAGCAGGAGAAGAGGAGCAGGAAAGAGACTCCACAGACCAATGGGTAAAGTAGGATTCTTTATGAGACTCTGTTGGCTGCAATCATTCAACAAAACCCCGTTCATCTCGGCTCGGAACTAAAAATGAGATTAGATGTTAGTCCACTTTAAAAGGAAGTTTCTGTTTTCAAATTTGAACATCTTTCCTTTGTAAAAAGACCAAAAATTCCTGCCCAGTGCCCATTATTATGTGTCTTGCCAAACATCATGAACATGGATATCACATATTTTTCATTTATTTATTTATTTATTTATTTATTTTTATTTATTTATTATATATATATATATATATATATATATATATATATTTTTATATTTTTTTTTTACATTTTTTCATTTACTTATTTATTATTATTATTTGTTTTAGGTATTATTATTTATTAATTTATGTTAAATGAATGTTAAGTCAGGGCGTAAAGTTTTTTTTTCATTTATTTATTTATTATATATATATATATATATATATATATATATATATATATATATATATATATATATATATATATATATATCATATATATATATATATATATATATATATATATATATATATTATTTTTTATTATTTATTATTTTAGGTTTTATTTATTTATGTTAAAATTTTTGTGAAGTCAGGGCATTTGTATTTTTTATTTATTTATTTACCTTTTCTCATTTATTTATTGTTTTTTCATTTGTATTTATTTTTTAAATTATTATTATTATTTATTTTTCTTTACATTTCATTTATTATTTTAGGTATTATTATTTATTTATTTATGTTAAATTTTTGTGAAGTCAGGGCATTTGTTTTTTTCATTTATATATTTATTATTTATTTTTATTTATTTAATTTATTATTTTTTTTTTTTTTTTTCATTTATTTATTTTTTAGGCATGGTTTTTGTTTTTTGTTTTTAATTGTGTGTGTTTCAGTTTTTCAGAGGCTGAGTTCAGTTCAGAACCAGAGACTAGACTCACACAGCCACAGGGGCCTCCAGCCTCCAGGTATCTACACACAGATGCTTCTCCACTGTTACACTCGTTTCTTCTCTCTCACCTTCTGAACTTGGATTTGGAGGGATTCATGTTTGAGGAATCTTCAGTCTCTTATTTTCAAGACTCCAGCAGTACAAGCCCAACGTGTCCTTCTCCAGTCTGATGTTCTTCGTGGGTGATACTCACGTCGCCATTTTTGTCCAAATGTAAAATAAGATTCTGCTCTAGTGTGATGTGCAGCAGGAGGAGGAACCCACAGCCTGGTTCAGTCCTGGTTTAGTCCTGGTTTAGTCCTGTTTCAGTCTTGGTTTAGTCCTGTTTCAGTCCTGGTTCAGTCCTGGTTCAGTCCTGGTTCAGTCCTGGTTTAGTCCTGGTTTAGTCCTGTTTCAGTCTTGGTTTAGTCCTGTTTCAGTCTGGTTTAGTCCTGTTTCAGTCTTGGTTTAGTCCTGTTTCAGTCTTGGTTTAGTCCTGTTTCAGTCTTGGTTTAGTCCTGTTTCAGTCTTGGTTTAGTCCTGTTTCAGTCCTGGTTTAGTCCTGGGGTAGTCCATGCGGTACTTTGTTGTTTACATCCACTTGTTTGGTTTTTTTTTTTTTTTATTTACCTTTTTTCATTTATTTATTTATTTATTGTTTATTTTTATTTATTTATTTAATGTATTATTATGTATTTATTTATGTTAAATTTTTGTGAAGTTAGGGCATTTGTTTTTTTCATTTATTTATTATTTATTTTATTTTTATTGATTGATTTTATATATATATATTTACATTTTTTTCATTTTTTTTTTTATTATTTTTAGGTTTTATTTATTTATGTTATTTTTTTGTGAAGTCAAGGCTTTTGTTTTTGTTTGTTTTAGTTTTTTTAATTTTCTTTAATTTTTTCCTTTTACTTTTATTTATTAAAAAAAAAAATTGTGAAGTCGTCGCACATGTTTTTTTCTGAAGTGGTTTTAGATTAATATTGAGATTTAAAGTGTCACAGTCAGAACAGAACGAGTGTCACAGATAATAAATACAGTTTTGTGTTGTTCTGCAGCAGGAGACTCAGACACACAGAGGAGAAGAAGAAGACAGAGACTCATGTCCCAGAGACAGAACACAGCACAGGTCAGTCCACACGCACCATCACGTCTCTGTCTCCCCAACGTCCTCCTGACCCTGTCCTCCTGACCCTGTCCTCCTGACCCTGTCCTCCTGACCCTCTGTCCTCCTCCTGTCTCTCTCCTCCTCTGCTCTCCTCCTGTCCTCTCTCCTCACCGCTCTCCTCACCGCTCTGTCCTCTCTCCTCACCGCTCTGTCCTCTCTCCTCACCGCTCTGTCCTCTCTCCTCACCGCTCTGTCCTCTCTCCTCACCGCTCTGTCCTCTCTCCTCACCGCTCTGTCCTCTCTCCTCACCGCTCTGTCCTCTCTCCTCACCGCTCTGTCCTCTCTCCTCACTCTGTCCTCTCTCCTCACCGCTCTGTCCTCTCTCCTCACCGCTCTGCTCCTGCTCTGTCCTCTCTCCTCACCGCTCTGTCCTCTCTCCTCACCGCTCTGTCCTCTCTCCTCACCGCTCTGCTCCTCTCTCCTCACCGCTCTGTCCTCTCTCCTCACCGCTCTGTCCTCTCTCCTCACCGCTCTCCTCACCGCTCTCCTCACCGCTCTGTCCTCTCTCCTCAGCTCTGCTCTCTGTCCTCTCTCCTCACCGCTCTGCTCTCTCCTCACCGCTCTGTCCTCTCTCCTCACCGCTCTGCTCCTCTCTCTCCTCACCGCTCTGTCCTCTCTCCTCACCGCTCTGTCTCTCTCTCTCCTCACTCGCTCTGTCCTCTCTCCTCATCTCCTCACTCGCTCTCTCTCTCTCTCCTCACCGCTCTGTCCTCTCTCCTCACCGCTCTGTCCTCTCTCCTCTCACCGCTCTGTCCTCTCTCCTCACTCGCTCTGTCGCTCTCTCTCCTCACTCCTCTGCTCTGTCCTCCTCTCTCCTCACCGCTCTGTCCTCTCTCTCTCTCTCTCCTCACCGCTCTGTCCTCTCTCCTCACCGCTCTGTCCTCTCTCCTCACCGCTCTCCTCATCGCTCTGCTCTTGCTGTGGAGTTTTCATGTTTGCACTGAAGACTGGGTCAAATGCAGAGGGCGACTGTCACCAAACTATAACCCCCGGTGTTCACTGACTGTAGGTGTGGTCCAGGTTCAGGTTCGGTGTGGTTTTATTGTGACTTGTGCCTTGCTGACTGTGCTCTCTGCTGCTGTGCGGTGGCAGGGGCGGGTGGCAGGGGCGGTGGCAGGGGCGGGTGGCAGGGGCGGGTGGCAGGCGGCGGGTGTTCGCAGGAGCTTCACACTCTGGTCGAGAGTTCCTGTCGTAGATTAACACGTAGAAGAATCCTTTTGTGAAACAACAGCAGCGTTTCACACTTTCTCGTGTTTTTGGACACTGTGGCTGTTCACAACTGTCGATCTGTGAAGGACCAGGAGTGTGCAGGAGTATTTTATTCTGAAAATACACTGGATCTGTCAGTTCTGCGCGTCTGACTTCCTGTTTTGCTCATGTGACTTTTGGCAAAAGGAGAAATTCAATTCGTCAACTGGACAAAAGTTTTTTTGTTTTTTTTTTGTATTTTTGTCCAGTTGACAAATTGAATTTCTCCTTTTGCTCTAGATTCTACCTGGACGACTGAGGGACCTTTACACACGAGTTTTTTTACCACTTGACGTCAGATTACACCGCGGCGTCTGTGTGTGTTGTTCTGTCTTATATTAAAAAAGAGAGATTTTCATTTTAAGGACTAGTCGACTCACCAGTTTTTCACTTTAGACAATCTAATGTAAATTTCAACAGAAAATGATTGCACTTTCTCTGTGTGTTTTTGTAGTAGTGTAATCAATAAAGCTCAAGATCCTTAAAATCTATCACACTTTGTTATTTTTGCTCAAATTATTGTCCTATTTTAGTTTAGATTAGTGTGGACGACTGAGGGACTTTTACACACGTGTGATTTTTTACAACTTGACGTCAGATTACGCTGCAGTGTCCAGCAAAAATAGATTTGTTGCAGATTCTTTCCGCAGACCGGCGCCTCACCGAGGTCAGTGTGACGGAGACAACTGACTTGAATGACTTGAATGACTTGAATGACTTGAAGTGAAGGACCCACACGTGTCCTGAACCTCACTGCACCTGCATCAGTGAACACCGGGCCTTAAACAGAAATGAAGCTTTAACTTGTTGGGTTAAAGTTCATCAGAAGTAAAAATGAACATCTGTGGTTTAATAAAAAGTCTTGACCCCCTACCTATGACCCCCGACCTATGACCCCCGACCTATGACCCCTGCACACGCCTCTTCAGACGCTGCACACATGAAACACGTCTGATGTCGTCTCATTTCAGGGGAGACCAGCTCCAGGAGAGACGTGGGCACCTCTCCAGGCCCCTCCTCCTCCGCCCGCCCAGAGCCCCGCCCACTCGCCAGTCCACAGACCAGGTCAGTAATCAATGGAATGAAACCCCTTTTTCTTCTCAACTGAGTTTTTCTCATAACAATGAAAACTCTTTTATTTCTCATTGTAGTTTGTTTCTCACGATCATAAACGATAAACTTTTACGCCTTCGTTAACATTATTATTAGTTTATACGACCATAAACGAAAAACAAATCACCCTTATATATTTTCATTTACATTGTTGTCTGTTTTGCATGATCATAAACGATGAAATTTCGTCCCTTTGTTAACACTACTATTAGTTTGTACGACCATAAACGGGAGGAAAACATATGTATGTATACGTGTATATAGATGTATGTGTATAAAACTAGAATTGATTAATTAAAAAAATAAAAATAAAATTAAAAAAAGTCAGGTTTTAGAGCCTCCACAGCACTGAGACTGCTCTTATCAAGGTGACAAATGACATCCGCCTGAACACTGATGCAGGCAAAGTCTCAGTCTTGATCCTGTTAGATCTGAGTGCTGCTTTTGACACTGTCGATCATGGATCCTCTTACAGAGACTAGAGGACTGGGTGGGCATCTCTGGTACTGTACTAAACTGGTTCAAGTCCTATCTAGAAGACAGGAAGTATTTTGTTGAAATTGGAAACTGTGTCTCAGATGACATGGCCCTGACCTGTGGGGTGCCTCAGGGGTCGATCCTGGGCCCCCTGTTGTTCAATCTCTACATGCTGCATCTTCTGTGACGCTGTTTAAATCCAGGCTCAGAACATTTCTGTTTAACTGTGCAAATAACTGAAAGGTTTTCATTCCGCACTCTTCTCTCCAATTTATGTCTCTCTTTTTTTATTTTAATGTTTTGATTTGTTTTTATTATGATTTTAATGTATTTCTTATTCTGTAAAGCACTTTGAATTACTTTGTGTACAAATTGTGCTGTACAAATAAACTTGCCTTGCCTTTAGCAGATCTGTGGAGAGGCGAGCCGCTCACTAATGCACCTTTTTAAACCTTTTTGTGAGTAAAACTTCCAACTGTAATGAAATAAAAGCTCCAGGTTTGAGTCTGATGGCGGCGGCGCCCAGAGGCTCGATGGCGGATTTACACGAGTCGACATGAACGAATAATCCGTGAAACGTCGGTTTCTCTGGGTGAACGCCGCCTCAGACCAAACGCTCTCTGTTCCAGACTGGACCTGTCTCTGTCCGAGTTACTGGAGATCTTCAGCCCCGCGTGTCCCGGCGGCAAACAGAGCAGCGCCACACGCAGGCCGAAAGCTGCGCTGCGGCCTCCGCGCTCCTGTGGCCCCGCCCCCTCCAGGAGCCACGCCTCTCTGACCCCTCTGACCTCTGACCCCGACCTGGAGCTGGAGGAGAGCAGGATCCTGGAGGACATCTTCTTCATCCTCTGAGCTCAGACAGGATCACGGTTTTACACTTTTCTAAACTTTAGCTCCTTGATTCTAATAAAAGATTTAAAAAAACATTTTCACTCTGAATTTATGATGAGTTTTCACTGAGGAGATTCCCAAAGACGAGTGTGACGCCCCCTGGTGGTACGAGCAGGTACCAGGAGAAGATCTGATAAATCTGGAGAAACTGAGTGTGAGGGTTTTTTTCCAGTGAAAATGTCTATTAGTGTATTTTATACTGATGTTTACACAGGTATTTTCTGTTTTTTGGAGTAGTGTTGTAATAAGACTTTTAAACATGAGCACATGTACAAATACATGATTCAACTCTGTCAGTATCAGCAACCAAAGAACCAATCAGGAGCGAGGCTGTTGAAGGTAACGCCCCCTGAGTCATGAGTCATGAGTCGACTCGCGAGGAGCAGGGAAGTGACAAAAAAAAAAAAACAAGGTGGAAGACGGAAAATGGTATAAATGAAGTAATGTTTAATTAACGGGAATGTTAAAGGTAAATAACAAACAGGCTGAAATATGAACATTAAAAAACCTAAAGTAAAACAAAATAACAGCATTAACATGTAACGAGTTTTGTGCCAAAAAACAAGTGACTAAACTAAAGGACGCACAACAAAACGAAACCACAAATGTCCCAAAGTAAAAGCACAAATAAACCCACAAACAGAATAAACACACAAACAGAATAAACCCACAAACAGAATAAACCCACAAACAGAATAAACACACAAACAGAATAAACACACAAACAGAATAAACACACAAACAGAATAAACCACACAAACAGAATACAAACAAACACACAAACAGAATAAACACACAAACAGAACCGAGAGACAAAACTAAAAGTCTCTAAACTAAACAGAGTCAACACAAAGTCAGACACATGTAAACACAAACACAGACTGACACAAAAGACACACACAAACACAAAACGGGCCACAAGGGTCAGCGCCCCGAGCAGGTGCTGCAGGTGCTGCAGGTGCTGCAGGTGCTGCAGGTGCTGCAGGTGCTGCAGGTGCTGCAGGTGCTGCAGGCAAAAGAAATGAAAACACACAAAACAAGTCAGAACTGGAGGTCTGGAGCCGTAACGCCTTAACGCTGCCGGGAGGGACCTCGAGGAAAGAAGGAGCCCGACCAACATCCTCAGGTCAGAGTGAGGAGCCTGACAGCAGCAGGTCCACAGAGAGGTTAAAGGTCAGAGAGAGGGGCCACACTTTTACACACAAACTACAACCACGGCTCAAAGAAACCACACTCCTGCTCACTTCCTGTTTGGAACACGACGGCGAGCCTTTATGTACATACACATATATCTATAGACTCAGCAGAGCGTCACCGAGGACTCAGACCAGACTCCAAACCCCGGAAACAGAGGCTCACTGAAGCTGCTGTAGAGGGTCTGGAGATGAGACAGTTGATGATCAGGCAGGACGTGATAGAAGGACAGAGATCCAGCCTCCGTGTTCAAGAACACGCCCACTCTGGAGGAGGACACGCCCACTCTGGAGGAGGACACGCCCTCTGTCTCTGAGGACACGCCCCCTCTGGAGGAGATGAGGACCGGGCGTTGGCTCTGGTTGTTATGGCAGGTGCAGCACTGTCCTCCGCTGATCTTCAGTCTCCAGGACAGATCGTTGTCTCCAAACCCGCTGTTCAATCCTCTTCCTCTGCGATCGATGCCTCTGTAGCTCACGGCGATAAACACGTCTCCGCTCAACTCCACCTCCCAGTAACAGCGCCCCCACAGGCCGGTGCAGCTCAGGACCTGAGGCCTGTGGATGAATCTGTCTTCATGATCTGGATACTTCTGCTCCTCCTCCACGTGCGTCACAGTCCGATGGTCCTCAGACAGAAGCAGACGTCTGTGAGCTGAGTTCGGGTCCAGAGACACGTCACAGGAGTCTGAAACACAAACATGGAAATATGACGAGGATGTTGTAGTGTCCGGATTTTGAACACAAGTCTCAGAGACAGTCTGAACTTCTTTTCCATCAAGATTCTCCCAAAGAGCTACAAGATGTGGTTTCTCCTACAAAGAAACAATTGATGAACTGAAATAATTCAGAGATTTGACAAAACTGAAAGAGTTCACAGTTAAAGGACAAATGCTCAATCTCAGCTCAGGACTTTCTCCACAGAAAGAAGAGGAACGATGTGAACTGTTCATGCTGTGAATATTGTCAGTATTGTTTGAATATTGGTCCTCATTCGTTTAACCTTCCCCCACAGTAAACGTACGACCAGACCTGAACAGTTCATCTCAGACCTTTGACCAGGAGAGGAGAGAGAAGCAGGGAGACACAGAGCACCTCCTGATCTTCTCTGCTGGACAAAGAACGTTCTAGAGAGACAACGCCCGAGAAGTCAAAACTTCCAGGTCTTTCTAATGAAGCGCCAAACATTGTCACTAACACATTTGTAACACACACCTTTACCTCAGCTGTAACACACACCTGTAACACACACCTTTACCTCAGCTGTAACACACCTGTAACACACACCTTTACCTCAGCTGTAACACACCTGTAACACACACACCTTACCTCAGCTGTAACACACATGTAACACACACCTTTACCTCAGCTGTAACACACACCTGTAACACACCTCCAACACACCTGTAACACACACCTGTAACACACCTCCAACACACCAGTAACACACACACACACCAGTAACACACACCTTTACCTCAGCTGTAACACACACCTGTAACACACCTCCAACACACCTGTAACACACACCTGTAACACACCTCCAACACACCAGTAACACACACACACACCAGTAACACACACCTTTACCTCAGCTGTAACACACACCTGTAACACACCTCCAACACACCTGTAACACACACCTGTACCTCAGCTGTACACACACCTGTAACACACACCTTTACCTCAGCTGTAACACACACCTTTACCTCAGCTGTAACACACCTGTAACACACACCTTTACCTCAGCTGTAACACACACCTTTACCTCAGCTGTAACACACACACCTGTAACACACACCTTTACCTCAGCTGTAACACACACCTGTAACACACACCTTTACCTCAGCTGTAACACACACCTTTACCTCAGCTGTAAACACACACCTGTAACACACACCTTTACCTCAGCTGTAACACACACACCTGTAACACACACCTTTACTTCAGCTGTAACACACACCTGTACACAATAATAATAATACATAACATGAAAAATAACTGGATAATTAGTTTATTGAGTAATTAATTACTTTTACAGTCTAGTTACTAACTCAGTTACTTTATGGGGAAAGTAATTGTATTGATAATTACTTTTTTAAAGTAAATTGCCCAACACTGTGGACCACACTGTGACATCTCCACTCTCCTGGTCGTTACAGACGGGCCTGATGGTCAGTTTAGATTCAGTACAGAACTTTAGATAACTCTTAAAGTTGTATCTAATCTCCACTCTTCAGCAGACACTCATTTGCATATTTCATGTCTAAATGCTTCTGTTGATCAATAAATATTCATAAACCACAGTTTGCTTTGGTGAATAGTAGTTTATAGTAATTATTAGAACTAAACTAAATTCAGTTCTATATAAAATCTACTCCATAATAAGCCCTCGAGTGTTTTCACTGTAATTATAAATGTGTAAATCAAATAAAACCAGACTCACACTTCCTCAGACCTGGGACCATCCAGCGCTCTCCAGCAGGATCCAACCTGAAACACACAAGTCCAGTTTAGACCACAGACCAGGACCAGAGACCAGACCAGATCAGAAACCAGAAGCTAAACCAGTTCCAACCATGGACCAGAAACCAGAAACCAAACATGATGACTGTATTTACATTTTTGTGTGGTAGTTCTAGTTTCTAATGTCCCTCTCTCTCCTCAGACTCTTGCAAAATATCATATAATATAAATAAAAAACAAATGGTTGGTCTCTTTCATCCTCATCCAGCTCGGCTCCTGTACCAGAGGCCTGGGAGCCTGAGAGTTCTTCAGTATCTTTGCTGTTCCTGTTCTGCACTTTTCTGGATTGAGATGTTCTGTTGTTTTTCCTGGTATCTGCTGGAGTTTCTTCCAGTTTGGGGGTTACAGCCCCGAGTGTCCGATCACCACAGGCTCCACTGATGCCTTCACCTTCCAGACCTTCTCCAGCTCCTCCTTAAGCCCCTCGTTTCTCGTGTTCTTTTCTCCTGATGTTCCGTCTCTTGGTGTTGTGATGTTCCACCACCACGGCTCTGCTCTGTTCTTCTCCAGCTCCACTATGTCTGGTTGGTCCATCTCCATCCTGACAGTCTGTATCTGGAAGTCCCACAGGATCTTGGCTCGGTCGTTCTCCACAACCTTTGGAGGTGTTTCCCACCTTGACCTTGGGGTCTCCAGCTCGTACTCTGCACAGATGTTTCTGTGACTGTGGCTCCTCTTGGTTCTGTGGCTCCTCTTGGTTCTGTGGCTCCGTGTTTGTTTCCCTGCAGCATCTGACACCTGCAGTTCTGTGCTGGACTGTCTCAGGAGCCTCTGTGCACAGTCTGCACCGTGGCTCTGGTCTGGTGTGGTAGATCTGGGCCTCTGTTGCTCTGGTGCTCAGGTCCTGCTCCTGAGCTCCAGGATGAGCCTCTGTGTGTCCTTCAGACCCTCTCAAGACATTGGGAGGATTTCTTGATCTCAGTCTCTTCAGTTCTGTTCTGGTGGTTCATGTAGGGGTTTGTCCTGCCATGATGGTCCCTCCAGCTCCTCTTCCTCTGGACCCCACTGTCTGAGACCTTCTCTGAGCTCCTCTTCTGTCGGGGCCTTGTCCTTGATGTTCTCATGGAGCTTGGATGTTTCCTCCTGGACAGTGGTTCCACACTCACTAGTCCTCGGCTCCTTCCTTCTGGCTTGCGTACAGTCTCAGGGAGCTGGATTTGGGATGAACCCTCCACATGGTCAGGAGCTTTTGTGTCTTAACATCTGTGTGTGTCTCGTCCTTTGGTCAGTGGTTCCTGCTGGGATCTGATCACTGACAGGAACCAGCTGTTTATTGTCTGGGCCTTGTTCTTCCATTGAGCTGCTTCTTAGGACTTGCCTCACTCTTTGCAGGTATTTGGCCGTAGCCGCTTGTTGCCTCTTCGAGGAGCCATTTGCTTGTGGGACACCAAGGTACTTCTAACTATCCTCAACATCTGCTATTGTTTCCTCTGGGAGTGAGACCCCCTCTGTGTGTTCTACCTTCTCTCTCTTCATCACCATCCTGCTACATTTCTCAAGCCCGAATGACATTCCAGTGTCTGTGCTGTAGATCCTGGTGGTGTGGATCAGTGAGTCAATGTCTCGCTCATAGTGTACAGCTGATGTCGTCCATGTAGAGGAGGTGACTGATGGTGGCCCCGTTTCTGAGTCATATCCGTAGTCATTGCGGTCGATGATTTGACTGAGGGGGTTCAGTCCCAGAACAGCAATGGGGACAGTGAGTCTCCTTGGTATATGCCACATTTGATGGACACTTGTGCAAGTGGCTTCCCGTTGGATTCAAGGGTGGTTTTCCACAACTGCATCGAGTTCGCAATGAAGGCTCTTAGAGTCCTGTTGATATTGTACAGCTTCAAGCTCTCAGTGATCCATGTGTGTGGCATTGAGTCAGAGGATTTCTTGTAATCAATCCAGGCAGTGCACAGGTTGGTCTTACAGGTTCTGCAGTCATGGGTGACTCTTCGGTCATCAGGAGTTGGTGTTTTTGCTGATGCCCTTCTGTGCTGTGCTCATGTATTGATCCATGTGCTGCTTGTCTTAGCCGCAATGATGTCTGACATGAGCTTCCATGTTGTGGAGAGACAGGTTATTGGCCAGTAGTTGGATGAGACTGTGCCCTTTGAGGGATCCTTCAGGAGCCAAGCAACAAGCCAAGTAACTAGTAGCTCAGTGTTCCAAGACCCACAAACGGCAACTGCTTTAACAACTAGAGATTGACAAGGTACAACACAAATGCTACGGTAAGGGGGAGCCAGGACGCCAGGTCAGAGGGGAGTTAACACTAACTCCCCAACCACAGATTGGATACGAAGCCCCAGTACATATCACGCTGAGCGAGGCAGCGCCTGATCTGAAAGATAAGATCATGACCCGAATGAACACAAGGAAACCCCAACGCCAGTTACAGAGGCTAAGTGAAGTACCATCTGAAAGCCTCCCTAGAATGCAGCACTGAGAGTGATCCCTACCACAACCATCACTGAAAACAAAAACAAGTCCCTAGCAATAAACAGCTAATGACAGTGATCAGATCCCAGCAGGAATCATGCACTGGCCAACAGAGTAGATACAGACACAGAAAAAGACACAAAACCTCCTGACCATGTGGAGGGTTCATCCCAAATCCAGCTCCCTGAGACTGTACGCGAGCCGGAAGGAAGGAGGCCGAGGACTAGTGAGTGTGGAACCACTGTCCAGGATGAAATATCCAAGCTCCATGAGAAAGACAGTGGGGCTCAGAGGAAGAGGAGCTGGAGGGACCATCATGGCAGGACAAGCCCCTACATGAGGCGCACTACCGGAACATACTGTGGCAAAAGTGAAGTGGCTCCTGAGACAGTCCAGCACAGAACTGCAGGTGTCAGATGCTGCAGGGAAACAAACATGGAGCCATAGAACCAAGTGGAGCTACA